ACACACACACACACACACACACACACGTCTATAATACAGTTATTAATTAATAAAGTAAAATAATTATTTGAGACTTTAAGTTATTAAAACACGAAGTACTGTCGCAAGATGAGAACTGTATCCTGGATTCCGGAAAAATAAATAAAACGATGTATTTTATTCTATTTCCTTCTTTATTGCCTTACTGTAGTCCTTTTATTATTCCCATTCAAGGACCTTCCTTATTTATGACTCAGTGTTTTTATATAAAACACCTATAATAATTGAAACTCTGTTTTAATCAAATCTGGGAACGATATATGTAGTATTTTCAGCATTAGAATACGCAATATTCAAATTTTTTTTATAACAGCAACATGTAACTTCGATCATTTCATTAACCTTCATCAAAGCAATAGTAAAATGGATTAAAATAGTACAATACCAGCTTCAAAAAATTACAAACCCTGGAAACTAACATAAAAGCATAAGAAATCATCTGCACAATGCTTTGCACTAATTACATTGCGCCTGCAACAAAATTGATAAAGTCTTGCCGTCGAATGCCATGGGTATTTTACCAATGATTTAGTATTATCAGAACACGGCATAAACATTTTAATTCGTTTAAAATTAATTATAGTCTAATGTTTCATGTACTTTCATAGATGATACAGTTGGAAGATCAATTTATAGTGGACGATCAAGGGAAAGCAGCGTATCAAAACACGCGTCTCGAGCATAATGTACAACTTAACATAAATTCCAGTCCTAAACTTGCGAGGCTTACTCGAATTATGGTTACTCTAGGTAAACTATAATAATTTTGCTACCTGCAATCAATTGTAATTGCTATATGATATCAATTTCTTATCTCTATCCTGCCAATTACTAACTACATTTTGAGACTAAACTAATCGCGCTAAAGGGTATAAAATAATAAATCCGTACCGTGTTGAAACTCTATAAATTAAATAAAATACACGTGTGAAATAAAAAAATTCTATATTATGATCCTGGATCATATTTTACACGTCTGATAGGGATGAAAAATTCTGATCCCGACACTATCGTCGACATGATGATGGCCGGAGCAAATATAGTCCGCTTGAACTTGTCTCATGAATCGGAGAAGTGGCACGCAATCACCGTGCAGTCTATCAGAGAAGCAGGAAACAGGATGTACGAATTCACGAACGAGGTTTACCCTTTGGGGGTTGCGATGAATCTTCGCGGCCCTGAGATAAGGACTGGCGCGTTCCGCGGCGATGAAAAGAGCCTAGTATGCGTACAAGCCACGTCGTAAATCAATATTGGTTTCACCGATGGAGTTCGTAATAACACTTTCAGGGGTTCGCCAAATTAAAAGAAGGTAGTATGGTAAGATTGGTCACGGACAATATCGCGAAACGTGCAGGCTGTTCTTCGTGTTTCTGGATATCTTATCCCGATCTACCTCGAGTGTGTCGACCTGGTGACAGACTACTGATTGACCGCGGCGCGGCTTTGCTGCAGGTCACCTGTATCCGTTAGTTCTAATTTTATCGCAGGAACGTAAATTCCCCTTGAACAATTCAGATTAATTTTAGATATTTGGTACAGGTGAGAAGGAAATAAACTGTAGGGTCATTAAAGGCGGTACGGTAACGGATTATAAACCGGTACAATTATTGGACAGTGTGGTTTCATTGCCACAAATTTCGGAAAAGGACACTGAGCACATTAAATTGGCTTCAATGTTAGAATGCGATTTTCTTATCGTAAATAATACGCGCAACGAAAAAATGATTTACGCCATTAAATGTCGTTTGAGACAATTCGGTACGTGTTCAGCAATTTGAACGCATTGTTTATTACACTATTTTATTTCATTATAATTTATAATGATTTATTATAACGATTTTTCCTGAAGGCGTTACTAAACTTTGCGTTATGGCCAAGATCTCCACGCAACAAGGCCTAGACAGTTTGGACGAGATTCTAAACGCGGCCGATGCCATTTTACTCGACAGGCCTAGTATCGAGATAGAAGTAGGGCAAGAAAAATTGTTTCTCGTGGAAAAGATAATTATCGCCAAATGTATTAAGGTGATATGTTTCTCAAATTGCAGCAGTTTCTCTGATGCCCATTTATTACTGTAAAAAATTCACTCGATCTTTCGTCTTAATTTCATTTAGATTGGAAAACCGATCGTGTTAGGATTTCAAGTATGCAACAACGGGAAGTTAAACATTGATATGAATCTAATTGCGAATGCTGTCCTAAATGGCGTCGACGCGATACTTCTTAAGACCGGTAGTTTAGAACCGAAAGAAGTCAGTCAACTGTTGAAAGACGTTGACGTGGTTTGCAGAGAAGCCGAAAGCGCTCTATGGCAAAAAGATATCTTCGACGAACTCAGTTATAAGGTATTTTTCAAATAAGTTATCAGATCGAGAGTGATGCATTCTACGTGTGGACATCGAAACAGGTACCGGTACCTTTGGATCCTCTGCACGCGATCATAGTTGGGGCTGTTGAGACGTCGCTAAAGTCGAATGCAGCTGCAATCGTTGTCACGACGACAACGGGACGTAGCGCCGTTCTGTTATCAATGTACCGCCCCAGATGTCCGATTCTTGCGGTCACTCGTTACGGGATCGTTGCAAGATGGTTACAACTCTACTATGGCATCCACGCTCTCCATTATAGAAGTAATAAACTCTTTCATCTTATTCCTCTATACGCGCGTTAGAAGCAACCATTATCATACTTTCTTATCAATACAGTGGAAGCTTTGCTCAATTGGGGCGAAGACATGCAAGCTCGAATTCAGACCGGTATCGATTCCCTCCGAAGAAAAAGGTATATTAGAGTCGGCGATCCGGTGGTGGTCGTCAGTGGATGGCGTCAGGGTACAGGATTCACGAATTGCATACGCATAGTTTACGCGTCGCCAGGATTGGAAAACCAAATATCAGATTTCGAGCCTTGCTGGTGAAACAAGTTAATTCGGACATAAATATTTGAATTCAACTAATTGCAACAATTAATAAAACCATTCCTTATGAATTCCTCATAAGCCTGTTTATCTGTAAAAAACCTTTCAATCCCACTTTATTATATGAATATATTTAGATATACATGTAAATACACTGCATGTAAAACGTTAAAAAATCTTCTTCGAGAAAACTTTGAAAAACAATGCAGAAAGTTTGCAATCGTAATTCCTTTCTGTAATCAGTAACATTGAACGCGTGACACAAAAGATGCTTCCCCGGTATGATAACGTGCCTCGAATGAACACGAATCATGACCCCCTGTGCTTTGTCAGGCTCCGCAGAAACTTCGCTACATGAATCGGCAATATGTAATACCTATTTAATTGTTAACTGATAAGCAACACTGCAGTGGATTGTGCCTCCCTGACTTGTTACGCAATTCCAAAACCGTAAAAACGTACATTTTAAATCCTGTATAATGTTAATATATTTTTGCAATAATTAACGAATAATAAACAGTGAAGTAACAAATCAAAGTATAAATTTTCATATAATACTCGTGTTAAATGTATATTGGTACAAGCATTATGCGGTACCTATGTCAGCTGTTGATATAGTAATATCTATATCACATCTGTTTAAATAACTTGTAAATTACTGTATCTTATCATTCATTGTCAGTTACATACAAAAATATAGAAGTCTTTTTCTATATGCGATAATAATACATATATTTATGTATGTCGCTGACATTCAAATCTCTCGCCACGCAGCAAATTAAGTTCAATTAAACAAGCCGGCTATTACTGTGGACTGTGGGTAGATATGTTTATACAGACATCAACAGCCAAGATGTTCAAGTGGACATTAACATTAATGTCAGAATGTAATTTTATACGCACTCGTTCTTCCTACGTATGGTGCTCGGTTATCGATTTCTTTCTACCAGGTATCCATCGTCATACTTATGGTGTAATCATGATTCATCTTGAAATGCACAGAATCGAGGCACTTGTAATTTTACACGAATGCATAAGTGACTTATTTTTTGTTTAATCGCGTACGAGAGGATTAGATAATGACGATAAGAAAAGTGATCAATCGCAAAATTAATACGCGACAAAGCCATCAGTCGCGTATTAATTTAACGAATCTGAATACGAAGTGTTATTTTTAAATATCGATTATAGTTTCTTCTTTTGCAATAATAACAAATGCGTCGGTTAAAAGTAATCCCAAGGTATTATAAAAATAGGAACACTGGACAATACATATAAAAGGGGGAACTAAAAATGTTTCTCTTCCTGTTTATTTAATTAAAGATCTGCCCTTTTGCATTTCATGCTCAGATAAAGCAATTTACGTGAAGAAAGCGAAAACATGTAAATAAGGGGATTAAATGAGAGCATCTCAGAATATACTTTCGAGGATATTTTACAGGCATACTTTCGTACTTATCGCATTTTCATGAAAGAAGTGAGAAAAACAAGACGTGGAAAAGGTATTCAGTATCACATATACATATTTCTGCTTTAATCATAGCTAATCAAGTAATCTCTCCCAAGTTACTTCATCGACTGCGATTGAGACGAAATTGAACCCCTGCCGAGAGTCGCGTCTAAGATTTATCTCTTATTCACCAAACACAAAACGACCGCACAAATACGTAATCAACGATTGACGATCGAAATGACTGGGAATTATATTAAATATTAATTAAATGAACAGTTTTTTTTAATTATACATTTAATTTCTGAGAAACATTATATGAGATTCATAAGTAGGACCCATTACCTCATCGTTGCGTATTTCAATATAATCACTTGATACCTATAATGACATATTCATTGAAAATAAAATATAATTTTCATTCAAATACTCGAATGCAGTTCTGATATAGAATAATGCGTATAAATTTAATATACGACGTTTTGAGTACTTCTACATTGGGATGCAAATGTATTCTTTAAAGTATAATTGCAGTGATTTAAAATAAATTATTAGAGCGAAAAGCGGAGCGTAGCGTCGAGTGAAATTATGGAATTGAGCAAGCTACCCTCGCCTATCTAGCCTGATTGCAATGCAAATGCCTGCATCGTGTTTAATATGTATGTGTGTTCCGGTAATTAAAAATAATATATCTTCAACGATCTTGTTATTTATCTTCACCATCAATTTAAATCCTAATTGAATTTAGTTGAAGAACATAGGAATGATACTATTGAATGCCAAGTGATTAAATATACGCAAACAAATGTAAAGATTATTAGCGATTTGATGAATTCCTCCGGAGGACCAGTAAATCGTTGATGGAACCCGTTGGGGGTTGAATCTTTTGAATTTAGAAGTCGGAATCAGTCTAGCGGACACATCGCTGACCCTTTGACGAAGACTGAACTGGTGGCGGTTCAAAATCGATCATGGAAAGTCAGTAAAAGTCGTGTAACAAGATCGTCCAGTGAAGGAATTGCAAGGATGTCGTGTCTTAAGACGGCGAGCGACGACAGATACCTGCGCTATGTATCTACGTAGTACATCTGCGGGAAAACGAAATGGAAAGAGGAACGCTTGCGCTGAAGGACAGACCGCGTGCTCGCTCGCTCGCTTTTCACTCACCACCTGTGCCTGCGCCCACACTCTCCTGCAACCCCTATATAAACGAAGGCACCCCCGACGCCGATTCACTTCGCATCATCGCTGCGGCTCCTGTGCTTCACGACTCTCTCGATTTTCGACATCCCAATCTCACGGACGATACACTATTCCTTGGACATTTCTTGGGCCGTTCTCGTTTGCATCGCTTTGCTCTGGTAAGTTCAGTGAATTTTCTATTTTCTTTTAACTGGCTACATTCTTTATTATCTCGTTTGTATAACAGAATAGCAATATAGCGCTAGGACGAATTTTCTGCATTTCGATTATTATATGTAGATAGTAATGTTAACTAGTTTCATCTTTGATGTAATTTAATTATTTGTTTTGTACTAATTTTTATTGTTATTAACTTGTTTGTAGAATTTTGTGATGTTACTGATATAGAATACAAATATTCTTATTCTATTTAATCAGTATAACTGACTGTTTAAAATGATAGTCTTTTATAAGTGTATTCGCTTTAATCATTGACATATGTTATTGCAACGAGAACTATTTCTATTGATGTTCTGTCGTACTTCAGTTCCAACTGACATGGAATTAAAACATTGTCCTAATAGTGATGCGAACTTCATAATCTTCCTTTATGAAAGGAAAGCTCTTTGTGCCGTAAGGTATTGTTGCATCTATATTAATAATCCGAAATAAAACACTTTACATCTGAAAGAATCTTTAAGACAGTCAGTTTTTAATTTAATTGAAAATTTCATATGATAAATATAACTGCTAAGAAGATTAAACAGGAAGTCTCTAATAAACTTGTTTGATTCATGAAACAGAAAATATAGAATATGGCATCAAACATTTCTTACTAAATTTTACTTCTCTTGCCTTTTTAATTTTCGAATAGTTTTTTTCTTATTTCTTCATGCTGACAATATAAATATTTAATTCTAACTTGATCGTTNCGTCGGCTCAAAATAGTTTATTTACTATTAATTACTAACCATTGTTTCTAATTTCTGTCGCGACTATGTTGAAAATTACTTCTGCGTTCCCCTCCCTACATAAGTTGTTCATGAATTCCTTTGTTAAGTTTCAGGCTGCATGATTAAATCCCATAACATTATTAAACAATACGACAACTACTCAGGTGAATGTTCATTGTTAACTACTTACATTTGACGCGTACCGGTTTTAAATTTTACTCGGGCTATTCTAAACTTAAATTAGTTTACAATTCATATGTGCACAATATGTACGTTTCCACAATTCATGAAATTTCAGCACAATTTAATTCGGATGGGATAACTAAAGTATAATGTAACTTCTCGCGACTCATTAGAAATTATATTATGGATTATTTTCATATCTGAACGAAATTGCAGATAACAATAAATTTAATAGAAATCCATGAAGCAAACATATTTTTTCTACGCCTTAGTTGTGTCTTAACTAAAGTTTCTTTCAGTTCCAATGTCACATCGGCTGTCTAAAAATATTGTTGCGCAATCGATAACCCAAGAATTTTCTCCTTTAACGAAAAAGCTTAGCAAAACACGAATTGTTGTATAAGCTTTGCGTGAATCACGTTCACTGTATTTAATGCAAACTACAAACGCACAGAGCTGATCTATGGAAATGCGTAGGCTTACGATTGAAT